ATACAAATCATTGCAAAGCAACTTTACAGCAAATTAAGCTTCTACAATATTTAGTGGTAGCTTATCAGTGGTGACTGTCAGTCAATGTACATATGGCAGAAATGTACGGAAAAATCAATTAAGGACGCAATCAAACAGACGATGAACACTATTAACAGCAATTATTATATGATGCAATCAAACTTATAGCAAAGTTTGGTAGTTCTGTATGTTGTTTCAGGGTTGGCATCATCTGAGGTCCTATGAGGGGTTGACCTTTCGTGTTCTTGTTGATACGTGGGAAGCGGTCCTGAAACGATGATCGTCGTCGCGGGCGATGTGCGGCGCACCGTCTCGATCAGGCTCCTGAAGTCCCTCTTCAGTGTCTCCTTCTGCCGCAACTTGGTGTCGTTAACCCCCGTGTGAAGCACGACCGCTTTTGATCTAACTTGTTTATAGATTTAAATGTGAATTATAGTTATAGTAAAGAAATATATATGACCATTACTTGTCATCTGAGAACATGCAAATGTGTTGTTAAAGGGGTGGTTGATTGCGATTTCACTTTTTTAACGTTAGTTAGTGTGTAATGTTGCTGTTTGAGCATAAACAATATCTGCAAAGTTACGAAGCTAAAAGTTCAATGCAAAATGAGATATCGTCTTTCAAAATTCTGGCAGTTTAAGGCCTACAAAAACGGCTGGTAGGGACTACAACAAGTTACTTCCCGGGTTTGTGACATCACAAACCCTGATAAACCCCGTCCCCGGGAAAAGGCAGCAAAGGGGGTGAGGCCATACTGCGCTGCTTTAGAGAAGAGAAAGAGAAAGTAGAGGTGCACGTAAAAATCTATTCATATTCATAGGCCTTCCATTAAAAGCCGTGCTTGCACAGGTTCTGCACGATCCTTTTTAATAATATCCTCTGCTTCTCAATCAGGCTCAAACTGATAAGCAATATAGACGACGCCATTGTTTACTAGGCCTGTCACAATAATCCCTATATCGACTTATCACGCAATATATGTACATGACCTCAAACATTTTTGGTGACGCAATATATCGGCCATTATATTTACTTGAAAATTAATGTCACCATGTTTTTTGCATTCCACTTGCGCCTGTGTCTTTTGCAGCGTCTCTTACACGTGACGTGGTGTAGTCATGAGGTGCTAGTTTAGCTAATTTTAAAAAATGCTTCTACAAAAAATGTTTAATCTGCAGATATGATCTTGTTTAGGGATCTGTGTCTTTGTGCATACGGACATCTGATGGCTACAATAATATCGCTTATCACAATTGTTTCTGGGGCAATATATCGCACAACAAAATGTTGTTATCGTGACAGGTCTATTGTTTACAATACAACCGGAGCACATGCCGCTGAGGTGAGGGGCGGGACGATTAGACGTGCACTAGAGGCGGTTTAGCCAATCACAACACACTGGGCTAGCTAACCAATCAGAACCCATTGCCTATTTCTGAGGGCGGGGCTTCATAAAAGCAGGAAATGATCAGCACGTTTCTCAGAGAAGGGACAGAGAGGTGTGGAATAAAGGTAAATGATGTGAAAAATTATGCGTTTTTTTTAAACGAAGCATTAACACATGTTAGACTGCACCCCATAAACACAATCAAGCCTAGAAAAAAAACAGTCAACCACCCCTTTAAAGCTGCAGTCCGTAACTTTTGTTGGTTAAAAATGATCCGAAATGATTTTTTGGGCAAGTACATAACCAGCCAGTGTTCAAAATCTCCTTACCTTAGCCCGATTCACAACGGTAAAGGGAGTTGACTTGTTAACTGAGGTTCGGGAGCGGGGCCACGCCCCAAACAATCACCTGACTTCCCAAAACCTTCATATATATCGGGCCACCTCATACTGTACTGTTTGTCTCTTTCTCTCGAACCCACCCTTTCTCATCCATTCAGCCATCCTTATCCCATATTTCTCTTTCTTTCAGATTGTATCAGGGGGGTTCTAATCATCTGGCCTAAATATACGATCGAGACGATACCCCCACCCTGAGTCTCTCTGGGCCATCAATTCTAGATGCCCTGATCAACCTGACCATCATCCCATTCCCTCTACCCCTTCATCCTCTTTCTACTCTTCCCCAACATCCTGTTCAATTAACTATTCCATAGCTCGTTTGTGGCGTGGTCCTAGCTCGTGAAGCTTATAATAATGTTTTTTAATTTGAGTGGTACTGGTAAGAATTCACAGGAAATTCAAGCATGCAGATTTAATCACCATTGGTAGTGCGATTTATTGTAAAGCTTTTTTCCTCGGTTGGTCAGAACAAAAGTGGCAGACTTGTTACGTTCAGATGACAATATCTGGTGAAACTTCTTATTTGGGTCATATATTCTGAGACGTAGGCTAGAATCTGTGATTCCTAAGTACAGTATCCACACCAGTGCGGTGACTGACAGCCACACATTCACCTCAGAACATTAGATTCATCCGCTGGAGCCATGCATAGATGATAATTCTGCAAATAACTGCAATTGCAGGTTTTCAAACAGAGATGGCAACAAAGAGGCAAAATTTACAGACTGCAGCTTTAAATTATTCAATCCATAAAAAGTAACTATAATCTGATTATTAACATTTTAGAATTAAATATAATTACAAGTACTACATTTATGCAATCTGGTTACATAACCAGATTACTTGTAATCAGTTACTACCCAGCACTGAAAATACAGAATATTCAGTGTAAAATACAGGTCCTGAAGAAAACCAGTTAAGAACCACAGACCTATGTTTTTGTTTATGTGTCAGTGCACATGTGTTTTGATGCTGTGTGTTGTCATGTACACATTTAAGACTAAGATTACCAAAGTGCCTGTGAGAGTGCTGGTACTGGATGTCCCGATTAGTGATGCTTATTCCTTGGAGTCTGTGTCCAAGCATGGCTTTTGTAAGTGATGGTGATCATCTCAATGCATTTGCTTTGTTTTTTCAACCACAAATGTACATTCAGATGACCTGTGTTTCTGTAGCATTAGAGATCGGGCCGCAGCCGCATGGTGTCGTCAGAGCAGATATCTATATTATTATGAAAGAGGCCGTCGACTTGACAATAGACTGGATCCACAAATTCAACTCAGGTACTGTAAGACCTAAACAATTGGGGTTTATATTTGTCTGTTGTAAGTGTGATTTATTTCAAACTATGTTGTCTTCAGGAACGGTGTTTGAAGGCGGGGATGTAGAAGCCTTTAAGTTTATCAAAAGTGTTGATTATCCAAGAGATCCAGAGACTTGGACTCTCACTGCTGCCATTCATCCTCAGCTGCAGGTGCCAATCGTTCTACTATTTTCTTTCTCCATTTTCTATTACAGTAATGGTGAAAAAAATCGAATTCTAATTATTGAAGTGTGGAAAAAAGATAAATTATTATTATGGTAAACAGTGCTGGATAGTAACTGATTACATGTAGGATTACATAATCAAATTCCAAAAGTGTAGTACTTGTAATTGGATTACATTTTAAAATGCTCATAATTACATTGCAGTTAATTTTTTTATGGATTGCAGGTCCCCCTAAGATAATTTAATAACATATTCACATGTTCTCTGATGTCAGTTAATGGTCATTTTGACCTGAAGGTGAACAAAATATTTCAAATGTGGGTGTTCAAGAGTTTTATGCTTTTATTTTAAAACAATTTATTGTTTAGATTTTTATGATGTAATTAATTATTAGCTCTTCATCAACTAATAAACCCCCTGCAGTTCTTTAATTTACCACATTTTGGGAAACACTACAGTAATGTAATGTTTAATGCATTTTATGATGCTGACAAAAAATAGTTTTTTTTTATTTATATTTTTAACAATAATCCCATTTAAAGTTAGGTCAAAAGTAATCTAAAAGTAGTCAGAATACATTACCTGAAACGAATAATCTAGATTACATTACTCACTCTTCATCATGTAATCTATAATCAATTAGTAAATAATCTACCCAGCACTGACAGTGATTAATTCATCATGGTAGTATTTGTTGTACTGCCTTTGTTGATTTAAATTTTTAAAAAGTTGAGTTTTTTTTAATGGGAGTTATACAAGATGTCTACATGCAAACATGCTTTGTATATCACGAAATGCAATCTTAATCAGCCTAAAAAATGCTAAATATAATTCAATTTTTTCTTGATTTTGGTTATAATGTGACCTAGATATATTTCTGTGAAATATACCCAAAATCTAAATAGTTTTTTATTATCTTTTTTGTTTTCTAGGACAAAGACTTCTGTCTTCTCAAGCGGGGAGACCCTTTATTTTTGTAATTTTCTGGAGAAACTGTGAACTACGAGGAAGAAGAGACACTTCATCCTTTCTTTATCAATGAGGCTGCTTACTATGAAAAGGGAATCGCTTTTCACTTGGGAAAAAAGATGATGCTGACGATTCCAACGGTGCAAGTGCAGAAAGACTGAAGGATGAGAGGAAAATATATTAAACTCGGCACAATTGCCACCGTCAATCAGTTGATTTCACAAGAATGTAACTGAAATGATTTTGACAATCACTTGTAACTCAGGTATAAGCTATGTATTTATTTTTAGCTATATGACAATGAATGGCTAATTTATCTGCTGCTAAAACACGAGCAAAAGCATTATGGATGAAAGGATATTTATTGTGACCAGCAAAATGTTCACTTGACAGGAATATGTACAAAACTGTATAAAAAAGGCAAAACCGTCTGAAGTACTGACATCATGATGCCACAGTGGAGTGTGAGATATCCTCTTGACTGTATTGCTCATATGCGGTTGCTCTTGCCTGATTGTTTGGAGAAAATTGAGCCTCTCATGGACTCGAAATAAAAGGCAAAACAAAAATTACACTCACTTGAAATAAATGTGATCTCCAATATTACAACACGCAGAATAAACCACATGACACAATGAAATCAAGTGAAGCTGGATGTGCAGTGTGATTTTTACCACTGGTACGATTTTTGCAAGATATGATGGCAGTGAAATCTTCAACTGACTGCAAGTCATCTCCAGATTTTTAGTCAAAGTGTGCATGATATACGTGACGAATGACAGCAGTAACTGGATGTTTTAAGTCACTCGTGCACATCATTTGACATACAAAATTAAATTGTGCCCTTGCACTAATTTCACCAATGTTCAGAGTGGCTTTATATGCACTAATTTAGTTGTTATAACATCACATTATGCAATCCTAAACTGCTGAGAAAATCTGCAAAGCATATCGAAAACAACATGGTAAAAATCGCATAACATGCACCAGCTAAATGTTTTAAATGAAGTATAAATAAGAATATAAACCACAGCTGAGATGGTTTTAAATTACTACTTGAACCATCACAAAACATTGTAACTGGATTCTAATCAAGTCACTAAGCAAATGTTAAGTACACAATGAAATACATTCTCAAAGAGAAACTAAATGGTAAACAAGAGTATAACCAATGCAAAGCACAAGAAACAATAATAAATATGCAAACCAAATGTTCAGGAAAATACGAAAGGCTCAAGTGGTTAATGCTTAAAATTGACACAAACATTCTGTCTTTCAGGCCAAGGCAAACCCCTATTGCATCTTGGGATTGCAAAGTGCTAAAATGCAATCGCTTCAAGATGTCACTGAGTAGCTACAACACAGGCTGAATAAAAGACACAGAGGTGTTATTTAAAACACGCTGAGGAGATGAAACTAAACCTAACATCAAAATAAGTTTAGTCTAACACAGGTAAACAAAAGGCGAAGCCCTGAATAACTACTGTTGAGCGAGAGTCTGTGGGTGAGAAGTTTAGTTTCTCATCTTCAACAGCACAGATGCTAATAGAGTGGTTAAAAAGGCAGTTATATAGTAGGAAGATCCTTCAAGAAATGAATATATTCACAGGACAGTACTACAGGTGGACGGCGTTAGTTTACCTACTAACTTTGAGCAGTATGTTCTGACCGTTTCCTTCATAACTTTAGCTTGGTTTGTGGTAAAAGCAGCCACTGAACGAACATGGATGGGTGCTTTCTGTGAGAGCAGACAATCGCTTCGGTGACTCTATAGTCAGTCCTCTATTGCCTAAGCAACCCTGTAGGCTGTCATTCGAGTGTAGTGTTGGCGGTGGCTCCTCGCGGCCCATATGAAGAGCGCGGCAGCCATGATCTGCAGCGGAGACGAGACCAGAGCCAAAAACAAGGACCAGCCCGGTGAATAGTCCATCCCTTCGGGGAGCTCGGATATTTCGTGAAACAAATGCACACCCGCGAGGAAACAGCATACAGTGGCCATGGAACACAGGCCTGAGAAAACAATATACGTCAAATTAAAATGATCTCTGGGAGCTGTGGAAATATAGCCATTAGCTGTTATTAATGTCTTACCGGCCAGCAGATGCAGCAGCCCTACGAATAGTGTAGGAGTGATACTGCGGCAAAGGCAGGCGCACACTCCGATCAACGCCGCGAGAAACACCAGCCCCACAGAGACCAGCGGGAACAGGAACTGACACTTCCACAGGTCTGTGGACACAAACATTCAAAACATAATGACAAAGCAAATGACAAAACATCCTGTTGCTCACTGCGGCTGGTTAAAATATTAAATATAAATGAATCTTGCTTAAAGGGATCCTATTATGCTTTTTCACATTTTCAACTTTAGTTAGTCTGTAATGTTGCTGTTTGAGCATAAAAAAGATCTGCAAAGTTACAAAGCTCAAAGTCCACTTCAAAAGGAGATATTTTATTTAACACAGCCTGCTCTACACCCCCAAAACAAAATCAAGACTTTGTAAAAGAGCATAATAGGACCCCTTTTTTTCTTGTTAGGACTGTGTCTAGACAATAAACAATTATAAGTGAATGGAATGAGAACTCTTTTCATCGTTTCATTGTCACAGTATGTTTTTATTATGAGTGCTAGTCAAAGAGCTGGGCAATATATATTTAATGTTTTCAATGTCTTCAAGATGATTTTAATGGCAATATAGTTTTGACATGATTGTATTTGGTCATTAAGTTTACAATGAAATGTTTGACATAAATGAAAAGATATACAAATCTTCCCAATATATACACTACCAAGTTTGCAGACTGTATGATTTTTTTTTTTTTAATGTTTCTGAAAGAAGACTCACCCAGATTGCATTTATTTGATCAAAAATACAGTAACAACAGTAATATTGTGAAATATTACTACAATTTAAAATAACTGTTTTCAATTTTAATATATATTAAAATGTCATTTATTGCTGTGATCAAATCTGTATTTTCAGCATCATTACTCCAGTCTTCAGTGTCACATGATCCTTCAGAAATCATTCTAATATGCTGATTTACTGCTCAAGAAACATTATTATTATCAATGTTGAAAACAGTTGTTCTGCGTCATATTTTTGAGAAAACTGTGATGTATTCCTTTTTTCAGGATTCTTTGATGAATATAGAGTTCAAAAGAGCAGCATTTATTTGAAACAGAAATATTTTGTATCATTATAAGTGTTTTACTGACACTTTTGATTAATTCAATGCATTTTACTGAATAAATGTGATGATTTAGAAAGACCCCAGCCTTTTAAATGGTAGTGTATAAATCAAATGGAATATCATCTAAAGAATTCCCTAGAAAGTATAGGTGCGAGTAAATGATTGATTGAGAGTCAGGACGTACATGTACGCAGCAGATCTTCTCCACTGTTAATATTGCCAGGAGATTTGTACTTGGATTCCCACTGCTGTGGCAAAGTAAAGGCCTGACATTTAGTCACCATTATCGGATCTGGAAAGGAGGAAGCGGAGAGCGAGAAGAGAGACAAAGCAAAATGTAGTAAGCATCAATTTTTAACCGACTGCACAACTAATAATAATAATAATAATACATAACCATAAGTTCCTCTCCTTACCAGGCTCTTTAGACCAGTATGAGTGTTTGGGCACCAGAATGCAGCGCCACCAGAGACCCAGCGTGCCGTTCAGCCGGAACAGAGCGACGCTGTAGATCCTCTCATCCACGTCCTCTGCCTCAAAGTCCTGCCGCAGCGTCTGCAGGTCCGAGCCGTTGTTGGCGTCGTTGCTGGCCGGCTGGCTATGGTACTGGTACCAGTGCTGCGTTCCCACGGCAACAGAGAGATAGACGGTGGCAAGCAGGCTCAGCACGGAGCCGATGACCAGCGCCGTGGCGTATCGGTTGTCCACCATGGTTTGGATGAAGTAATGCAAAAAGACTTTCTGTAGATGGCCAACAATTAACTCTTTAGCTGATGAGTGTGGTGACTGATGCGAGGAGGACGGTCATATCATTTGTACGGTTTTTGATAACAGAGATTGCTTCTCATCCTCTTACAATATCCAGTGCAGAACGTCAGATCTCATCCTCGTGGAGGTGATCCTTCTTGAGATCCAAAGAAGTGTGTCATCTGAAACAGAGAGGAGTGTGATTAAATCTCAAAGTAGTCAAACAAAGTCATGCTTACATAAGTAACAAGTTAATACACTTTTAAGGAGGAATAAGTCGCTGGATTTGCGAAAAACACTCCCAGTTTCGAGGCATTTAGCCAGGTAGCAAGACATTCGTGAGTAAACCTGTGTATTGTATGACTGTGAAATGATTTGTAGTTATTTATTTCACATAAAAGCCACTAATCCGCACACAACAACAAAACAAACGATGACTAGTCACTTCTAATTTCAAATGGTATAACAACAAAACTTTATTTAAAAAAAAAAAAAGTAATAAAGAAAAATAAAGGATTTTACATAATCAAAAGTCCAATAAAAAAAGAAAACAACAGTTAAACTCTTCCTGTAAGTGGTCTTTACCACATTATTACTGAGTTAACTATATTATAATAATAATAATAATAATATCATTTTCGCAACACTTAAGTACACAAAGGAGCATTTCTGTCCAAATATAATTTAGATATATTTAACTGACACAAGAGCCTAACGTTCAATAGTGCGTACATCAAAGTTGTTTGATGTTGGTTAGCATGAGAGCTAACAGGCTAGGGTGTTTTAGCGACGTGAGACTGGAGACTTTCGCGAATGAAAAACAAAGTATTTAAACTTTAAGTTTTCTGAACTTCATATAGCAATGAAACATCTTATATAGGTTTTTGTTTAAAGCAATAAAAGCTGTTTGCGATTGTCACTTACCATATCGCGCACACCCTTGGCGCTGACTGCGACTCCACTTCCGGTTACGACCGCACGTGCACAACCTAAATCCGCACGGGATGCACCACGTTATAAGTTTTACTAGGTTTTAGGTTCTCACACGCCCTTACCAAAACGCAAGGACAAAAATGATAAGAAACTAAACAGGTTTCTTCTGTTCACGCTGTACTTGCCCGTTAAAAGTGGCTTATATCTCTCGCTCCATTTTAGTTGGGTCTCAGACCACTTTCCATTCAATATTTTAGTTTTTTTGAGACCCAGACAAACAGAATAGAGAATAGTTTTATTTTGTAATTTCACAACAACAGTCATCATCATTATTTTTAAATATTAGAAACTGAAAGAAGAAGCATTCTGTTTGAGAGGATCGGTGGGTATTTGACAGTGATTGTCCTGTCATAATGAGCAGCTCACATCCTCAGTGTGTGTTTTGCATGCCATCATCTTTATGCAAAATAATGTTTTAAATTATATACATAAGAAAATGTTAACGTGCTTTTGACAGCGATTGACATGAATCGCTGCTCATTTGGAGATTTCACACGTATATATATATATATATATATATATATAAATATATAAAATATATTGTAAACACCCCTCTTTAGACCCCTGAAATAAACAAATGTGAAAACACCATATATCACTGGTAAAGAATGTATAAAACAGTGCAGTTTATTTTGCACACAATTCCTGGATTTTTATATGGCTTTAACTAGGGCTGTGTATCACCAGCAAAGTCACGATACGATAGCTACGTATCACGATACAGAGGCCACGATACGATACGTATCATGATACAGAGGCCACGATACGATACGTGCCACGATACAGAGGCCACGATACGATACGTGCCACGATACAGAGGCCACGATACGATACACGACACAGAACAGAGGCCACGATACGATACGTGCCACGATACAGAGGCCACGATACGATACGTGCCACGATACAGAGGCCACGATACGATACGTGCCACGATACAGAGGCCACGATACGTATCACGATACAGAGGCCACGATACGATACGTATCA